TCAGATGGAGACAAGGATTCTGAATCTTTGTCTGACATACTTTGGACATGTTTCAAGGAAGGAACAGTCCTCAGAGAGGAACATCACTCTTGGGAGGGTTAAGAGACAGTGCAAGAGAAGAAGACCCTCAATGAGATGGACTGATTCAGTGATTTTTGGTAATGGGGGTAGGTGTGTCAGAGACAATAAGATTAGCACAGGATAGAGCAGGGTTTAGGGCTGTTGTATATAGGGTCACTATGAATCACAGGTGACTCAACAGCACATAACAACAACAATAACAAATGTCAATGCCTTAGGGCTATTTATAATTAAAAGAGTTCAATATTTTAATTAAAATGATAATATACTAACATACTTAATTGAGAAAATTCTCACTTATATTGTTTAAAATAAAACTATGACAAAACATATTCAAACTCACTAATTAAATCACATTTATTGATGATATTGCTGTTAAGTGCTATTGAGTCAACTCCGACTCATAATGACCTTGTTGTTGTGTACGGTTGAGTCTGAAGTGACACATAGCTGACTTCTGTTGGGCTTTCAGACACAGTTAATTGATCTAGAGGAGATTTCCCATCTTTCTTTAGTGGAGCAGCTGGTGGATTCAAACTGTGTGCCTTTGGGATTGCAGCACAGCTTCTTGCCACTAGGCCACTAGTGTTCCCTTAATGGTCTTTTTGTTGTTTACCACAGAGTTGGAACCAACCCGTAGTTGAGCCTCCAGTGGTTTTTCAGAGGCAGTTAATAATCTCTGTGGAGACTGTCCATACTTCTCCACAGAGCAGCTGGTGGCCTTGAACGGCATGCCTTTTGGATTGCAGCACAGTTTCTTGCCACTAGGCCACCAGAGCTCCCTCATAATGACCTTATGTATCATAAAACAGTTTTTTTGCTATCCACACAATCATTGTTATGTCTGAGCTCAGTGTTGTAGCTACTTTATAATGAGGACATTGTTAAGTCAGTTTTGAGACATGATAAACTATCTAGTGACTGAAATTGGAAAGTCTTGAACAAGTTCTTTAGTGATTATGCAAAAGAATAAATAATATTTGACAATAGAATTTTATTGCTGTTTTTCTTGAAAATAGTTTGATCCTACAATGTGTTGTGTTGAAGATAACAAGTTTATGTTGTTGTTACTTTGTACCATCAGATCAAAATCAATTCATAGTTGACCCTCCAGAGGGTTTTTTAGAGGCTGTAAATCACATGGGAAGGAGGAAGCTGCTCATATTTCTCCCATGGAGCAGCGCGTCAATTTGAATTGTGTGCCTTTGGGTTGGCAGCACAACGCATTAGCATTAAGCCACCAGAAGGAGAGAACTGTTTAAAAGGGATATATAATTAGGTATTATTGTCATGACAGGATTCCAGAACGAAGGCTTCATAGTGGAGTGGACTTGGAGGGAGGGATTGTATAACAACGGAAGAATTTTTCTTTTACTTTTCAAAGAGAAGAGCTAACGGGGAGGTGGGGGGGAATTGGGCAGGGAAAAAAGTGCAACAATGAATGAATGGAAATCCAAAGTCTCTGTAAACTTTCATCAAAATGAGTAAAAAAAAAAGTAATAAAAATTTGATAACCTTTCATGCCAAGATTGCATGATAAAATCTGTGTATGGATATAAATTCATTCTTTAATTCTATTGTGTCCAAAGGACTGAATTTATATAGTTAAGAATTTCAGTCTGTTTTAACTTACCACACTCTTAGAAAACTTTAGACAATTTTTGTTTTTAACTAAGTAACAGTCTTTGCTATCACCAGCAAAAAAATCAGTAAGTTATATCAAAGAGTACACAGGATCTTTTGTCAACTGGTATAATATGGCATTTCTGAGAACTCATATTTCTGTTTCCCTCAAGATCCTCAATATTTTCAAAGTACCAGTGAAGCAACTCTAAAAAGAATTACTTAGCTAAAAGTAAGTAAATTGTGAAAGCAAGGTGCACATAAACATAACAAAGGGCAAGAGGTTAAGGAGAAATAATATAGACCTAAAACCATGACATGGAACTTCCGAATATTTTACAAGTTCACTGCTGGTTTTTTTAAAGGCCCACCAGGCCAGCTGATGACTGACAAGAAGATAAAAAAAGAAACTGGGTAGAAGTACATTATCTCTAGCAGCATGATGAGGGCTTGGGTAAACACAATGAGACTGGCAGTTTCTAAAACTACACATGTCTCATCTTCTGCTTGCCCACTGAGCCCCCAACCAAGTTAGAGAATAGTATAATGGGCAGTTTTAGCCAAATACATCTCAAGTGCGAAGTGCCCCACCGTTCTTTATATACAGCACAATGCCTTAGTATTAATACTCTTTAACACTGCATTTTCTCAGTAGTGGAGACAAATAAAAAACTTACTGTTGAGCTGGAAGCAGAGGGGACAAATACATAGCACGGAAGTCAAGGACCATGCCATCAAGAAAAGGGATTATGTCTTTATAGATTACTTCACTCCTTTTTTCATGATATACAATGCTTTGCTATATAGTAGTCTACCAAAAAGTCCCAAAGATAAACCAATAGAAGTAGAAAACTGTTTAGAAAAGAAAAATCTTCAGTTCTCTCTAAGATGCTTAAAAGGATAAAAAGCAGAAAGTGAACTTGAATTTCTAACTGCAAGCTAAAATCACTCAGATTTCTTTAAGGTCAAGTTGAATGTTAAATACGTAAGGCTAGTTGTCTGTATTGGTGGTAGAATTAAACTCTAATGGTACTCAAGGTATAGAAAACACATGGATCAGAGGTTAATAGTAAACAACAAAGCAAATGACTCTGAATCTCAATTCAGAAGCTCCATACCCCAAAGTATCACCAAACTAAAATTACTCTCTTACATGCCACGCATGTAATATGTACAAAATAAAAGCTGTGCCTGATGGTGTCCTGCCAATGTTTTACTCTACAGAAGGGTAGAAAGTAAAGGAACTTGCCTCTCACTTACTGAGAAATAAAATAGATGAATACTATAATAGTCCTTTTTTTTAAAGACTCAGTCTACAAGCCTAAAATAATAAAAAAATAAATAAAGAGTTAGACACCATGGTCCATTCAACTTAGTATCTTCCAGAAGCTCCATGAATAGACCACAGATACAAACATGTTTCTCATGGCCAAGCATTATAAATGGACCAAAGTTTTATTTAAAACATGAAATGGAGTCTAGAGCCAAGATTATGGTGACAGAGGAGAGGCATCTACGATACAAAAGTGAAGTAAGGGCTTACACTCAGGCAATGACAGATCCCTAAAGATTGAGTGCCTCCTTCACTTTGGCATCCTAGTGCTTCTCCCTTCACCATCCTCTTGGTTCTGGTGGGGTCAAACATTTACGCACATGAGAGGGAACTGGTAGCAGAAGAAAAAACCAGCCCTGTAATTGGTCAGGCCTCTGAAAGAAAGGAAGAATAATAATAGTGGAGCCCTTTCTCCTAGAAGTTACCTACTAACAATTTCTTACTATTGTTGTTCTTGTCAAGCACCTGCTGAGTCACCTAACTCACTTCTTACTACATGATAATATTTCTGGAAATCATATAGTGGAGAAAAGGGTCAGTTTATAAGTAGGTAGTTCATCTTTAGGGAGCTCTGAGTGACTTAGTGGTTAGGAATTACGCTGTCAACCCAAAGATATGCAGTTTGAATCCACCAGCTACACCTCAAGAGAAAGATGGGCAACTTACAACAATACAACAACACCAACTGTTCATCTTTATATTTACAATAGGCCTTCAAATCTTTTGGGTATACTCAGTTTGTATCTTCTTACATATTAGGTAGTCTCTTTTAGAGTTAGATGTTGGTTTTAAGATTTGCAACTGTTTTGATCTTCTAATTTCCTTCTGGAGAAACCTTTTAATCTGGTATCATGAAATGATTCAAAAGCAAAGCCAGGGGACAGCACAAATGCAAGCTCACTGCATTTGAACGGGGTATGATTCACAGCACCCCTCCATCAGGTTTCCAAGGCTTCAGATTGTAACTGGAAGAAAGAGCCCATCTATCTTCTGGAGGCCTGCTGGGGGATTTGAACCACTGCAGGAGGACAGCCTTTGACTTAGTAATGCAATTCCCTATGGACTGTGCCACTAGAGATCTAGTCAGGAGTCAACAGAGGTTTCATTGCATTCTTTGTGATATTACTGAAACTTTTTTTTAAGTAGTTAATGTCAAAATGGTAAGTAATCACTTATATAACAGAACAGAGTTTTGGCAGCTTTTTGGTGAGGAGTTGTGCTGCCAACCTAAAGAAAGAAGGCACAAGGTATGAATCCATGTGCTATGCCTGAGAAAAATGGGCAATCTCATCCCATGTGAATCTCTGAAAAAGTGCTGGAGGGTTAGCTATGGGTCACTTCCAACTCGATGGTACTTAACAATAACAACAACCTGTAAGGAAAGAGGTTGGATTGATCCTTGGTAGTGCAACAGTTAAGGGCATGGCTGCCCAAGAAAAGTTGGCAGATGGAACCCAGTCAACAACTCTGCAAGAAGAAGACCTCGTGATCTGCCCCATAAAGATTATAGCCTAGAACATCCTAGAAATAAGCCATGCTCACTACTGTTGAGTTGGTTCTGACACAGCAACTTGCCATTAATTTCCCAGGCCATACATCTTTATTTATATGCTTGTATTTCTTCTGTGGAACAGCTGGGATTTAAACTACCAATCTTTTGGTCGGTAGCTTGAACCAAGTACAGAAATTATTATTTTTTGTGTGTGTGTACCCTCAAACTGGATCTGACTGGTACAGGAGGAGCTTGTCCCTCCTTCTCCAGCAGAGCGTCTGGTAGATTTGAACTGCATACCTCTGGGGTTGCAGCGCAGCTTTTTGCCACAAGGCCACCAGAGATCCCTATTTTTTTTTAAACATGAGAATCTCCTCAACAACAAGGAAACTTAACAACTGAATACCAAATTTTAATTTCTTTAAAAACAGTTTCGTTAAAACTTGAATCACTTCACTAGAATAAACTTACGTTAAAGCTTCAGAATAATTATAATGAGGCGACACTCCCAAAAACTTCTGTACTTCATCCATCACTGTAGCTGGATCGGTTCTCAGCTGTTGCCCGTCGATAATTAACAACTGCATTACAAAAAAAAAAAAAAAAGCAAAGTATGTTAAGCTGTACAGTGAAAAAATTCTACACTCTGATCTTACTCAGTATGAAACAGAGTCCTGAGGGAATTGAGATAGCCTGCTGTTAGATTTTGCCAGGTAATTCTCATTAATGACCTGGAATAATAAATAAATCACCCCAATTAAATGCTTTCATATTTTATAATCTGAGAAGTACTGTAGTCACCATGAAAACAAGTGATTTGAACAGAACAAGAGAGTTTAGAATGTGGCTCCAAAATGACAAATGGAAACCACGGATACAAACAAATCAAACAATGAATCCATCACTCAAGCTGGAAAGGAGTGCAGATGAATGTCAATAATAAGAACAGGTGTAATGAGATGGAAGGGGTATTCATCATGCTTCCTTTTAGGAGTGGCAATAATAATGTTTTTTTTAACTTTCTTTTTTATTTCTAAGGGCATTAGAGCTAGGTTTAGTTTAGGGTTAGGATTGAAGTTGGGGTAAAAATTAAGATTGGGGTGGTCTTGGGGTTAGGTGTTAGTTTAGGGTTAGTGTTAGCATTATGGATTATATAGTTTTAAGACGTTCAATTTGTCTTTTTTGGAGAAAATGGGCAATCTTCTCCCATGTGATTTATTCCCTCTGAAAACCTGCTGAAGTGTTAGCTATGTATTGATACTGTGGATGGCACACAACAGCAGTCTATTCGGAGAAGTTAATATGCAGAGCACCAGCATGAGGCCAGAAGTTTCACAATAGATTAAAGGAATGTAAGAGGGAATGGATACAGTAAGACAAGATGTCAGGCGATTGTTAACAGAAAACCACAAAATCTGCAATGGAATCCTTCTCCATATTGTCCCCTAATGCAGAATTCTGTTTCGTTTAAACCAGCAATGTCCTGTTCTTTGATCACTGACTGCTTTACACTGGCCCTGTGGCCTAGTGGCAAGAAGCTATGCTGCAATCCCAAAGGAACATGGTTTGAATTTACCAGAGACTCCATGGGAGAAGGATGAACAATCTTCTCCTGTGTGATTTACAGCCTCTGAAAACCCAGTGGAGGGTTAGCTATGAGTTGGTTCTGAATGGACAGCACACAACCACAACAACAAGAGGTAGCAGAGAGCTCTGGTGACCTAATTTGTAGGAGTTACCCTGCTAACCAATTACATTCCTCTCCTATGGTTCTAATCTATCAGTAACTCCTCTGGAAAAAGGAGGGTAATCTCCTCCAGTGCAAAAACTTGCTAAAGGGTCAGCTATGAGTTAGCTCTGACTCAACAAGGAGAGAGAACACAAATATATGGTACCTTATCACTTGCATTGTGGCTGATGTGACGGAAGAATGGTATTTTTATTTAGCTTTAACATCAAGTAGTCATATGTGGTTAGTGATTATACTAATCAGATGTGTGGTTTTAGAAACACATGCATATGCCACACTGGTGTGACTGGACTGCTTATTGCAAGACACGGTAGGGGCTGATTTTATATTCTATTTTATAAAATACCCGGTGAAACAGAGGAACAAAGAAGCTAAGAACAATATAAGACTTATGAAAAATTGAGCAAAACGGCTCAAAAGGAAAACAGCCGCATTTAATTAAGTAAAACATGATTTGCCTTCTTTGGTTAAGAGGTTCTCAAGCTTTCTTCTCAGAATAAGAATCAGGGCCCTCAGGGATTTGAAGCATTTTATAATCATGAAAGATATGCACCAGAAAATAAAGCTTGGAGAATTATCCTGAAATACTCTTAGGAAGAAATTAAACAGCTTTCCTACCTCTGCTTATCTATTATTCTTTGGTGCAGTCTCATTATTTACAGCTAAAGAGTAAAAAGCTAGTAATGTTTTAATGAGCAAAAATTTCCTTTTTCCTAGAGGCAAAGTCATCAGTGTAATGAGATTGTAACACGGTGTAAATTCTTATTGCTGAGTACCTGAAAGGGAGGGAAATAAACAAGCCATCGCTCGATGTGGCTGGCATACCACCCAGGGACCAAACATCTCTTCTGCAAGGCTCTAAGCTCGGAGGGTGCATGGGGACCGGCTGAGATCACTTCGTAGAAGCTAAACTTCAGAGCTGCGGGGTCTTCATGCGATCGCTGATGCTATGATGAAAAGGTAGATAATTAAACTAACTGGAACCATAGGCATAAATAATTAAAACTCAATTTTTGTGACAAGTCTCAAAGATAAAGGAGAGTCTCACTGCTAGAGTGTTACTTGTTTTCCAATTAATAAAGGATGAAAATACTTGCCATCAGGAAGGCAGTTATGACAATGCTGAGAGTGTATTGTTGAGAACGTACTTGGTGGGGAGTAATTTTTAGAGAGAGGGTTTTTCAACTTTCTGAGCCCATTTCCTTAGTGTATATATTCTAGAAGTAAACTTTTGAACCTGCATTAATGCCCCCTTTTCAGCCCATGAACAAGCCAGTTAGTAAGTCCAGTGAGTATCCATAATGCATAAAACACGCTCCTCGTTCTGCCAAATAGTTTTGCTCCATCTAGCAAAGCAGTTTTTGATTAGAAAAGCTCTATCGGCTACTTTAAATGGAGAAACTACGGAAAATTCTGACATGCACATTATCTGAAATTCACAGCTTTTATCATATATTACCTGGCATCTAAAAGCCAATATTATCTTATCTAATGGTAACCTTTGCCATGAATCAGAACCATTTGTTGTGTAGAAAATGCAGAAAGCAGCAACCCAAATAGCAAAGTGTTTCATAATGGCTCAGGCTCAGGCCCCATGAGTTTGAGGAAATCACCTTTTCCTTAAATTGACCAATAAATATTCAGGCTTAGTGGTGGTTTTGTGGATGTTTACCACATCTCACTGAATAGCAAGACTCTTGCAACTGGGATTCAAATTAGTACACTACAAACTCAACTGGACTTGTTGAGGCCTGCATTTTGCCATTGTGGAGTCATTTATTTGCAATACTTAGGATGCTTTGTTAGCTTGCAGCCTTGAGATTTCATTTCTAGTAAATTCTCAATTTTTCAGGGGCTAAGTGGTTGCCAAGCTGCAATTTTCTTCCTTCTCTTTGAGTCAATTAAGGCTTATTTCTCTTTTCTCCAGACACCTGGTAAAAAGAAGTAAAAAGCCCAAAATCAAATCAATCAATTTGCAATTGCTGTATATTTTTATTTTAAAAATTGGCTCTAGGAGTCTGGCATAAATGATTAGCACAGAATTGTGGGTAGTCATGAATTTCAGCTGTCTTAGGTGTCTCCTGAGCCCGCCATGCAGATTATTATCAATACGCCTGTTGAGGTTTCCATCTGCTTCGTATGGCCTTCCCAGCCATGCTGCCTCCTTCCCTGATAACCCCTTCTTCCTCTCGTGAACCTGTAAAAATTGCTTCCGTTAAAGAATAAAAGGAGCTAGTGCTGAGAAACCTTATTCTCTAAAATCACAGGTTGTCAGGAGCTTTGCTGTTGGAAATCCTGTAAGTGAAAATGGAGTGTGCCCTTTTAAAGCCTGAAGGATCTGAGCCGTACAGACCACTTTACCAGGGAGGCAGCCTTGATTTTCCATCAGGTGCAGAATTTCAGATAAGAAGTTCGTGGACACAATATTCCTCTTTCTATTTTAACTTCGTAGTTTCCAAGAAAATAGAATCTTTAGTCTGTTTTTCGGCCCTGCCCTGATGCTAACACCTTTGCATGCTTCTCTCCCACATTTTTTGGTGTTGTGCAGCACATTCTTTCATTTTTAAACCTACTTAAATATCTCCCCTCACAAATTCTATAACAACTTTATCCATCTCTTCCCTTCTTGAGGGAAACACCCATGGTATTCAGGCGCTCTTGTACTGCTCTGTTAATAAACCTAACTTTATGTCTTGAGATTTGCCCTGATGGTCATGATCATATGGAAACTCTAAACATTGATTCAGTAATAAAATACTACGAAAAGATTTTTTTTTTGCGTTATTTCAGTTGACCTATTAAAGTAAAATGCATTTGATGTATAGAAATTTATTATTAAAGTCTTTGTTCAAAGTTATTGTTTCTATGCTAATTTCTAATCAGAAACAATGAAGGAAACAAAGAGGCTTAGAGCAAGGTTGAAGCAGAGATGAAGAATTCTTACATTTAGCTCTGTTGTTAAGTGGCTCTTTTTCTGCTCTTATTTCTGTATGTCAGCAAACAGACCTTCTCATATAAATCTAATAAGCAGACCTGTCCTGTAAGATTTTCTAGGGAGCTCTGGCATAATGTGTGGAGAGTTATGCTACTAACCCATAGGCTGCATCTCTCTAATGGTTTGATCCACCAAGGGGTCTCATCAGTACAAACATGGGCAGTGTCCTCCCATGTGATTTATCGCCTCACAGACCCAATGGTGGGTTAACAGTGAGTTGATTTCAACTGAAGAGAAGCTGGTTTTTGGGTTTTAAGTAATCCTTATGGGAAGAGATCACCAGGTCTTTTCTCCAGCAAAGCCACTGGCGGGTTCAGACTGCGGACTTTTAGGTCATTGCCCTTCTAGAAGCTTTTTTAGAGCAGGATCAGCTATTTTCCTGTCATGGTGAACTGATGTGAAAGGCCTGGTACACTATTGAAAATCAGTCAATAAAATAGCCTGATCTGCAACCAATTGTAGAGATAGATAGGAGTGGACAGCATTTAATTCTCACGTGCACAAGGCGCCATGAGTTGAGTACATCAATAGCAGCTAATAAGAACAATTTGTTGTATTGTTGTGTGCGAATGGTCTCACAGCAGACCCACCAGCAGCTTTTCAAAGGTTTTCAGAAACTATAAAATACACAGGAGGAGACAGCCCATCTTTCATGCCTTTGGGTTGGTAGTGCAACTCGCCAAGCCAACCAGCCTGAGGTCAAACTACAGTAAACTAGTAAAGTACAGGTCAAATTCAGTTTCCTGCATGTTTCTGAAAATAAAGTTTGGGGAGAACACAGCTTTGTTTATCTATTTGCATACTGCCAATGGCTGCTTTCATGTTACAACTGCACTATTACAACAGAGACTAGATGACCTACAGCACCTGAAATATGTACTCTGTACCTATAAAAAAATTTGCCATCTTCTATTTTAGAGAATCGATCATAATCAATCACATTATCTCACTCAAAATCGTGATAACAACACCAATGCTATATGTTTTAGATAAAAAGCAGTGATTTTAATAATAATGTTTTACACGGATATGGATACACAGATATACATATAACTTCATGATTTTATTACATTAAGAAAAAAAGCAATTAGGTGCGTTGAAGGAGATGGTGAAGGAATTAGGAAAGATCTGGTGGGAATCTGAAAAGATGGGGTAATAGTGGACACAGATCACTGATGATTAATTTTATAACACACAATGCAAATGAAAAACAAACAAACAAACAAAAACCACTTCCTTAAAAAAAAACAAACAAAAAAACAAAGGATGCAAAATTAATTCCATGAGGTTGTTTGGTGTTTACTCCCCTCCCTGGCAGAGTTTAACATACATCAGAGAGAAAAGTCAAAAGGCATAGGACAAACAATAAAGCGTAGAATGTTAAAAAATAAGTAATAAAAAACACTGTGCCAACAAGGAAAATAAAAAAAAAACCAGAGAAAAGTTTGTTCATTTTTCTGCAGTTGCTAAACAACTAGCAAATGTTTTCTCACAATCCTGAGGTGATGGTTACTGCTTAAAAACTATCCCTCATTCTCAAAACTCCATTTTTATATAAGACTGTGTTTATCTTCTGGAACTGGTTGGATTTGCCTTACCTGGTACCATGAGTATGCGCGGTCTGATGGATCAATGAGGATGGTGATGATTTTGGCCTTGGGCACGAGAGAAGCAGCTCTTTTAGGAGCTTCCTCTGAGTGGAAGTAATTGGCACTCTTCTCAAACAGAAAGTCAGTGGTGACATTAGATGGGACTGGGAAGAAATCCATATACCTAGAAAAAGGAATACTTTTTCTCAAAATAAGATTCTGGTTTTCACTCTTGCTCTGGTGACTGAAGATATTAATGGTGTCCCACAAAGTCATTTGTTTTATAAACAAATATCTTTTCCTTTAAGGCATTTCCTATGTAATTAGCAAGAAAAAAAATGCAAAGTGCTAACAACATATTTTGAAATTATTTTTTTTCTAAATACGTTTTTTGGTTTGGCTTTCTATCAGGGAAATAAGGCTGAGTGATAACAACATCATTGTAGAAAGATAGTGATCAGATGGCAATAATTAATCTAACTCTCTAAAATGTATGCGGATACAGAAATATAGTAGAGAGGAAAAAAAATCTATGAACTCAGCCAAAAAGAAAGTGTGAGAAAAATAGATATTCTCAGTTTAAAGATATTTTAAAAAGATTTTGGCAAAATAGTTTTTTGCTTCATCAGCACAAAAATCGTTTCCACTCTCATTAGTATGTATATCAATGTTATAAGCAAACATACTGCTGTTTAGTTGTTTCCAACTCCTAGGAGCCCTTGATCAGATTTCTGAGAGTGAGGGAACAGACTGCATCATCTTTCTCCAGCAAAGCGGCGGGGGATTTGAAGTGCTGACCTTTTGGTTAGAAGCCAAATATGGAATGCTACATCAACAGGATTCCTTGCTGTTGTTAAAGTCAGCCATAAAATACTAAACCCATAATAGCTCGCATATAATAAAAACTATCTATTTGCTCATTTCCTTGTTATTTGTAGCCATGTCCTATTTGGAATAATTCTAAGTAATTAAAAATACATAAATATTTCCAAAACTTTACAAAATTTCCCAAAACCTGAACTAGTTTTCTTGGTGAGAATTTAAGTCATCGGTACAGTGAAAGTGAGGATAGCTTGTTGGCTCGAGGATTCAAACAAAGGACACAACAGATTTTGTTTAATGATCCACCTCTCTAGTAGTTGTCAAACAGAATTAATTCAGCATATAGTAGTAGTGGTTTCTGAAGTGATAGATACTTTTTAGAAGAAAAAGGGCCCAATTGGAGAGAATATACAAATTTAATACCCAACAAATTTTTTAAAAATTTGATAATGGCTTGCATACATTTATATACATTGTGTTTCACACATTCCTTCATTCACATTGTGTTTCATACAATCATTTCCAAACATTCCAGTTTATAAAACTAATCACCATAGATTGATCTATGGCTACTATCACCTCATCTTTTCAGGTCTACAAGAGATCTTTCCTATCACCTGCTACTTCTGCCCTCCAGACTCTGCCACTCAGTGATTTCCCCCTCTTCCCATCCTCAGCCTCCCCACATTTTCTCCTCCTCCCTTTGAACTTTTATACACATCTTATTAGTTATCATTATATTTTTATAATTGTTTTATGTAGTACTTGTCCTTCTGAGGCTGTCAGTTCACACAACATAATTGTCTCTAGCCTTTCACATGCTATCATTGCTTCTGAGTCCTGCATAGTATTCCATCATGTAAATGTACCACAATTTCTCAATCTGTTGATGGACATTTGGGCTGTTTCCATTTCCTTGCTATTGTGAATAATGCTGCTATAAACACTGGTACGCAAATCTCCGTTTGTGTCTCACTTCTATTTTCCTCATGGTATATTTCTACTAGGAGAATATCTGGGTCATATGGAATTTCTGTGATAATCTTTTTGAGAAAATGCCAAACTACCTTCCAGAGTGGTTGTACCATTTTACACTCCCACCAACAGTGCATGAGAGTTTCATTATCTCCAAATCCTCTCCAACTTTTGCTTGTTGGCCTATTAAACTTTGCCATTGCTACTAGGGTTAGATGGTATCTCATTGTGGTTTTGAATTGAATCTCTTATTGCCAGTGAATCTGAGCATATCCTTCATGTGTCTGTTGGCTATCTTAATGTCCCCCTTTCAAAAGTCTTTCCATGTATTTTTCCCAGTTTGTCTTTTCCTTCTGGAGGCCCTGTAGTATTCTATAAACTTTCATTATGACTTCCTTGTCTGAGATGTCATTGTCAAATTTTTTTTTCTTACTAGATTTTCTTTTCATTCCACTGGAAAACGTTTTTGACATACACAGGCATTTACTCTTTAGAAGGTATTCATTAATATTATGCTCTCTTGGTTGAGCATTTCTGGCTGTATTTGCCAATTTCCTCCATTTCAATTTTATTGTTTCACACAGTAGTGTTGTGTAGTTTTCTTTATAAAGGTCTTTTGTGTCTCTAGTTAGGTTTACTCCCAAGTATCTCAATTTGTTGCTGGCTATTATATATGGTATTGCTTTCTTAATTTCCTTTTCTGAGTCTTCTTTGTCATTATAGAGGAGTCCCACTGAATTTTGTATATTGTTCCTATATCCTGCCACTTTACTAAATTGGCCTATTAGATCTAACAAGTGTTTTTTTTCTTGTTGTTCAGTCCTACACCCAAGAAATTTTTCTTTTTCATAATACTAGTCTTATTATTAAAACAATGACTCATTCTCTTAAGTTCATAAGTTTCATTGACTTATGCCACCAAAAAAAGGCTCAGTAACTATGGACCAAAAATGTCACTATATGATTCACTTATATGATATTATTTTTTTTACAGTATGCTGATTTTCTTTTAGTCGTAGCATATGAAAAATTGTCTGGTAAGATTCCAATTGTTAACATATTGCAAAGTTTGGCTGGTGCAACAAAGTGCTGTCTTGAGACTGAGCAGTAAAGAAATAATTTTATGTTTTCTGCAAATTGCCTTGTTAATGTCTTTCTGAAATCCTTTAAGGGGGAAAGATATGCAAAAATGTCTGGAAAGCTTGCTCTTCTCTGTTTTGGTGTATATTCTATTTCTAGAAAAAAAAACAATAATTAGTTAATATTTCATATAGAAGCTCATACCTATTTCAGGGATATTAATGTTATCCATGCAAACTCTGGTGGCCTAGGGGGTTGGGAATTGCACTGCCAACCCAAAGGTGGGTGGCTGGAATAGACAGCTGCTCTTCAGGAGAAAGATAGACAGGAGAAAAGATTGCCTTTAACAGTCTCTGAGTATCTGTTGGTGGGCCAGTATGAGTTAGTTCTGACTTGATGCCAATGAAGAGGCAGTTTCGGAAGGTTATCCCAAGTGTCTAATGATATCATACTTATTCTAAGCTTGTCTCAGGTTTGCTTTCATAGAAAGCTTTAAAAAAATCACAAAAAACGATAAAAGGGGCTGACATCACATAATTTTTAGTTTTTAAAAATGATCCTATCTTTCCAGAAGTCCTCTATTCTGAAATAGTTTAGGTGTCGATAAGCTTCAGAAGAACTTCTAGATGGATCTTGGATGTATAATCTGTTGATTTTTTTCCCCCTAGCTCCAAAGGCTCCTGGAGGAGGCTCCTGTTTGCTTTTATGCCCTATATATTTCTTATACAGTATCTGACACTGAAAAATGTTTGAATAATAAAAGGAATTCAACTTCAGATTTTCAGGGCAGGACTTGGAAGTCAAATAGAAGCAAATTTGGAGAATGTAAATGTAGTTAAAGAGCTGGCAAGCAGACTAGAGTTGATGGATTAGTAATGATGGAATCAAAAGTAAATATTGTATCACTTAAGTTTTGCTGTTTCAATGAGATATCATGTCAACATTTTTTGAAACAAAGATGTGCTTTATTGGTAACGTTATATGATTATATACCCAGGGCCTAGGTTGACCTTGAGTATTTCTAAATAATTTTACTCAAAGTCAGATATTTAGAAGTTCTAAGTACTAAAAGGATTTTCAGTGTCAATAATAATAATAAATAATAATAATAACAATAATAATAAACCATAAGCATACTGTTTACATGTATTCCAAATGAAAATATTTTCCTCAGATCTACTGATCAGAGAACTTTAAGATTTTACCAAAGACAAACCTCTCTCCTCCTCCACAACACCCCCTACTTTTGCTTATGCTGTAAAGTTTGTCCTTAGGCTAGCTGTTGGTTAATGCAATGTTGATTTTATGTAATTCACCAATAAAAAGGAGATTCATGTATTCACAACAGTTACTTGTGCCTGGGCTAATTCTTTAAGTGACCCTGGCCTCTAACATACATTATATTTGACCTCCTGGTGTTATGGTCCCAAAGGGACTTTTGAAGTGCTGACAACTTCACAGAGAGGCAAAGCTGGCTGAGTGAGGACTGACTGTGTGATCTTGCTGACTGCCACCCTATAGTTATTGCCAACAGAGTGTCATTTACTATCATTTATTTGTGGTAATTCCCTTTTATAAACATAGAGTCTCAATCAAAAATGTATGCATTTGAGATGTATTTATTAAGTTAAAATTAAAACCTTTCATTTCTCTTAAAACTCTGCATATTTATAATCGTCATCTTCTAAAAACAATGTAAGGAGAAAGAACTATTTTTTTAATATTGCTTCCATTACAGTGACTATTTGCTGATTTTGTCTATGATCATCTTGATCTTAGTTTTAATATCAGTCAAATGCATCAATTCTGAAGGATGTGAATACTGGATTCTCCTTTACCTCAAAAGCCGTTTTTAATCAGTACTTTTTAGTCCTTACAATAACATCACTTTATTTGATTGTACTATTAGTCTACATATTGGAGTCAGTGGTTAAACAATTGTTGAGTGGTTGACAGTTTCATTAGTCTCATGACTATTATTTAATATCGCACAATTAATCAACAAAATTACTATATAGTTAATATAGAATTAGTAGTGAAAAATACAAGTACAATTTATGCAAACCTTATTAAGTGGTAAAATTATACTCAATCCAGCTTTATTTTTGTTTGCATTGAGAATTCTTTCCATTCATTAGGTTTTGAGGAAGCTGACATTTTCTAAGGGGCAATTTGATGACAGATGTTAATATATATATGTAACTATGACAAGCACATGGAAATGTTTACATTCATGCTCTAGAATTATTTTTAAGACTCTACTCTTTTCTCTACTTTGCATTATTCCTTAGAGATGATATTTGTAGATTCAGTTTATGATTGAACTGTTAGTTTCCACCATCCAATTCTACTACATTGGTCTATTCTATATATATTAGTGGTTTTTTGACAAATAATTTAAAAAGTATTATTTTCCTAAGATGTTTTTATGTATTCTTAATTTTAATTCAAAGGAAAAAATTACATTTCTTATATTAATGATAAGGTTCTTTAGACTTTACTACTTTACTGTTCATATATTGCTTTTCTAACTGTATTTATTTACTTACTTATTTTTAGTCACCTATGCCTTAGCAAAATAGAAAATTATGTATGTGGGTTATAGCAACATTTATAAAAAGTATAAGAGACATCTGAACAAATTTTCTTAAAAATAAGAATAAAATACTAGGTAATAAGATTCTTCTGTGACTTCACATCTGAACTAAAAAATGCCATTTGAAATAACACTGAGGCCTCTTATATCAAGAAGATCCTTCACAAACTGAGATTGGTCTGTTATAAATAATTCCTGCACTTTTTCATGTTATTCTATCAATTCACAATGACTCAGAGAATCATTTTATTTGTGGTATAAAGACATGTTTATCAATATTAGTGCTAATTTTATACTGTGTACAGTACATATACTTTTAGATTTATACTAATAACCCATCTTACCAATCAATCCCCCTGTGGTAGTTATTTCTATTAAAGAACTGTACCTCCTCAAAGGTTTTTGGGCTGGGGGAGTTACTAAGGATGGAAGGATGCATAACCAGGAACAAATACAAAGCTGTGGTACCTGGAAAGACAAGAGAAGTTTTAGAATTGAATGAAAGTGTAATCTTGTAATATTAGCAGTTCAAAGTAATTATTCAAGGAAATATTACAGTGACCCAAATAGATATATTATAAATTCTAGATGAATTCAATTTATTAGATACAGAGTACTTTAAACATATTAAATAAAAAAAATAAGAGTTAGTGTAGTGTGAGAAGAGGCTTGTTGCAGAGTATAAGGAAACTACATTTTACAACCAATTCAACCACTGACTTATTCTGTGACTCTAGGTTTCAATTTTCTCTGTCTTAATTTTCTTTTCTTTCTTTAAATTGTGATTTTAATGAAAGGCTGTTTGTTGTTGTTTTTTTTAAATTGTGACTTTAACATAGATTGGATTTTTATTCATTCATTCTCCTACATTTTCCTCCTTATCCCCCACCCCAATTCATTTTTTTAAAAAAATTATGTCATTGTTGCAAAATTTCATCCCTACCCCCACCCCTTAGAGCCTATGGTGATGAAAGAAGAAGTTCAGGCTGCTTTGAAGGACATGGCCAAAAATAAGGCTCCAGGATTGGTGGTATACCTATATGCAGAACAGATTAACCGGGAGGCTGG